CACCAGCAGAAATACTGCCAGCCGGGACAGAAAAAACAGAACAGAATGAAAGCAAGCCGCAGGACTTCTGGGATTCTGCAGCACCAGACAATAGAGCTACCTTTAGAAAGGGTTCAGAGATGGACACAGGCTGCCACTCTTACCACAGACCCGGAGGGCAGGGCTGGTCCCTTCTCCGTCTCAAAGGGAGGGGCCTCTTCATTCGGGAGAGGCCGGAATGCCACTGACTGTGCCTCAGGGATGAGACTGAGGCCCAGTGCCACGGGGGTGACAATGCCATCTCAGTGGGCCTGGAGGGCACAGCATTGAACCAAGAAGGATAACTCTCCAGCCTCAAGACCTAATGGGATTTGCCTTGCTATGTTTTGGGACTTGCTTGGGACCTGTCATCCCTTCTTTCTGATCGCTCCCTTTTAAAATGGGAATGTCTGTCCCCTGCCTGTCCCACCACCGTATTTCGAAAGCACATAACTTGTCTGGCTTCACAGGTCCACAGCTGGAGAGGAATTCTGCCTCAGGATGAGGAGTACCTCAAGACTCAGCTATATCAGCTATATGTGACTTAGACTGTATTTGAATAAGCCTTTGAACTTTAGGCTTTAGAGTCCATACTGAAAGAAGTTAAGACTTTCAGGGTTGTTGGGATGGAATGGAATGTATTTGCATGCGAGAAGAACATAAAGTTTGGGGGCCAGGGCAGAATGTCACAGACTGAATGCATGCACCCTCCCAAAATCCCTCTGTTGAAGCTCTAAGCCCCAGTGTGGCTGTATATGGAGTAAGACAGTAAATAAGATTAAACTGGGTCATAAGGGTGGGGCCCTGATCTGACAGGACTAGTGTCCTTATAAGAAGGGACACCTGAGAGCACAGCGCTCTGTCCCCACTCTGTACACACACAGTAAGGAAAGGCCAGGTGAGGACGCGGCGAGGAGGGGCCGTCTGCAAGCCAGGTGGCGAGCCCGTCTCAGAAACCAACCCTGCTGGACCTTGATCTGGGACTTCCAGCCTCCAGGACTGCGAGAAAATAAATTTCTGTTTAAGCCGCCTAGTCTGCGGTATTTTGTTACGGGAGCCTGAGCAGACCGATACTCTGACAAAAACTGGGAAGCACTGAGGTAATGTTATTATATTAAGCTAAATTCCTCACTTGTAATAACAGAGTATAACAAAACGATGTCTAAACTATACTGGCTAGTGTTATGATGGTAACCACCAGAAAACCTAAAATTGATGATTAGAAAAGATGGGGGGGGGCCATGGTGAAATTTTTACTTTTCTTTGTTTTGGCTTATATAGTTTTTCTAAAACCATGTATATTACTTTCATCAACCATTTAAAAATTTAATGTAATTTGCAAAGAAAAGTTAAAATAGAGTATCACTCAGGTCTTTTATGATTTTTGCTACATGTATCCTTGTCAATTTTCATCAACATTTTTTAACCTATATCAATTGATTTTACTTTTTCAACTGAAACTGTTTATAGTTATATTTTTCTGATATACATTAAAATATGTAATTATTAAAAATGTTCATCATGTAACAACTAATATTACCTCATGTTCCAAGAATAATGTAGAGGTCGAGGTCACACTTTGGAAAACACTACTTGGTACATTTGTCATTATTTATCATGGTGGCTTAAAACCACAGTAAACATATGAGATAACGAATTCCTCTCTTATTTTTTCTAATTAAATCCCTCCACAAGTTACATCACTGATAAAATTTTAAAAATCTGAGTATTTGAATTTCCCATATTAGCATGATTAGATTACACCAACTATAACTTAAGAATAATTCACATAGCTAAAAGTTGAAGCTTAAAAACTTTTAGGGTTGGCCAGGCGCGGTGGCTCACGCCTGTAATCCTAGCTCTCTGGGAGGCCGAGGCGGGCGGATTGTTTGAGCTCAGGAGTTCGAAACCAGCCTGAGCAAGAGCAAGACCCCGTCTCTACTAAAAATAGAAAGAAATTAATTGGACAACTAAAAATATATATAGAAAAAATTAGCCGGGCAAGGTGGTGCATGCCTGTAGTCCCAGCTACTCGGGAGGCTGAGGCAGGAGGATCGCTTGAGCCCAGGAGTTTGAGGTTGCTGTGAGCTAGGATGACGCCACAGCACTCTAGCCCGGGCAACACAGTGAGACTCTGTCTCAAAAAAAAAAAAAAAAAAAACTTTTAGGGTTGTTAAAACCAAATGCTTGCTGTTTTTTAAAAAAATGCAGAAAATAAAGTCTGTCATACGAGTTTAGCTAAATAAAACAACGTAAATGACTTTGTTTTTATCATGGTTAAGTTGTCCAATACAACAATTAATTTATTTAACTAATGTTTAACTAGTGCCTATATGCAAGCCACTCTGCTAATTACTGGGAATGCAAAGACTTGTTAAAATTTACCATAAGAATTTAAGGCACAGGCCGGGTGCAATGGCTCACATCTGTAATCCCAGCACTTTGGGAGGCTGAGGCCAGGAGTTTGAGAAAAGCCTGGGCAAAAGTGAGACCTCATCTCTACAAAAAATAGAAAATTTAGCCAGGCATCGTGGCATGTGTCTGTAGTCCCAGCTACTTAAGAGGCTGAGGTAGGAGGATCGCTTGAGCCCAGGAGTTTGAGGTTGCAGTGAGTTGTGATGACACCACTGCACTCCTGTCTCAAAAAAAAAAAAAAAAAAAAAGGAATAATAAAGAAATGCCCCTCAATAATGGTATACCTTGATGAATTTAAAGTGGGTCATCTCTCAGTGACCTAGAAACTAGTGGAAAGTCTCAACTTTGACCAAAATCTTCGGCAAAACTTAAAACAAGACTTATTTCTTCTTATAGTCTTGGTTTGAAAAGCACAGTACAATCTGTGGATTTTGGTATCCGCAGGGGGTCCTGGAACCAATCCCCCACAGACATCGAGGGACAATTATGTTTCAAATGACTATTTAAATCTCTCTTTCTTATAAAAATTATACTTGGCTTCCTTAGTCAATTCTCTTAGGCTATGAACTTTTTGTAAAGTTATTGGGAAAGACTTTATGAGACAATTATAAAACATTTGCTGTAACTATTTATGGTTTTGTACAAGTCTTTATGATATATAAGGGGAATTGGTTGAATTTGCATATTGAAATAAACTGAAATATAAGAAAACAAAAAATAAATAAATAAAAAGTGTTGTACACTAAGCATATCTCAACTATGCCCTAAGCATTCATATTTATTTATAGATTAAATATGCTTTGGTCCATTTTCAGCAGTCGATCCATGTAATTCTTTTTTTTTTTTTTTTTGAGACAGAGTCTCACTGTGTTACCCGGGCTAGAGTGCCGTGGCGTCATCCTAGCTCACAGCAACCTCACACTCCCGGGCTCAAGTGATCCTCCTGCCTCAGCCTCCCGAGTAGCTGGGACCACAGGCATGCGCCACCATGCCCGGCTAGTTTTTTCTATATATATTTTTAGTTGTCCAATTAATTTCTTTCTATTTTTAGTAGAGACGGGGTCTTGCTCTTGCTCAGGCTGGTTTCGAACTCCTGAGCTCAAACAATCCGCCCGCCTCGGCCTCCCAGAGAGCTAGGATTACAGGCGTGAGCCACCACGCCCGGCCCATGTAAGAGAATTCTTACATTTTAAATATCTAAAGCACATGCTTTCTTGGTAAGAGAGGAAAAACTGAATTACTAACACAGATGAAATTATTTTTCATTGACCTATATCCACTCCTCTTAAAAAGCATGCCTTCAACTTCTCACTGCATGGCTCCTCTGCTAATTTCTCACCATCGCCTCTTGTAAACGTACTTCCCTCTTTCTCTGAAGGCCTCTGTCTTCGCTGACATTTAACCTTTTATAGGGAGCAAGGGAAGTGAGCTCTCCAGTTCACTCAACCTTGAGTGGAGGAAGAGGCCCTACACAGCTCCTAAATCAGTCTGCTGGTACCCCTGCAGAGCCCAGACTGCAGTCAACTGGAGATGCCTGCCAGCTGTTTACCAGAGTTCAGCATCGGCCGCGACCGAGCCTTGGTAAAGCAAGTGGCCCCCCAAAGTCTGAATGGCATGTTGGTTACACCTGGGGAGCAGCATCTTTACACCCTAAAAGAATACTTTCCTACTGCTAGTTATTTTGTCCAAGGAGAATCAATTACTGATTTAATTAAATGGTTTTATAAAAGACATGTTTATGAAGGAAAAATTCTTGTAAATAACCAAGTAATCAAACTCATAATGAAACTGAATATTTATTTGAATTTCTCCTGGTAATAGCACTCAACATGTAAGAAAAACAAATCAAGCTGTGAGATTCTGTTTTAAATGTAGACATTTTTCAAAAAGGGAAACGTTGGTTTCTGTATTTAATAGCAACAAGTGGGACATCTATTTTAAAACTAGCATTCAAAATAGTGTTTTTAAGAAGTATATACTATTAACATGATGTGTTTTACAGAATGGACACATATATGAATGCCAATATGAATGGAAGAAATACATATGTGTTAAAAACCACACGGGAAACCAAACGTTTTTATAAAAAGTAGCTTGAAATAAAAAAGAACTTGCTAGTAAACCCAGTAAACTTTCACACATGGGCACATGGGATATTTTTGAAAAATCCCCACCCACTTCACCTCTGCAAAAAAGAGAGAGAGAGAGAGAGAGAGAGAGGGAGGGAGGGAGGGAGGGAGGGAGAGAGGAAGGAAGGGAAAGAAACACATGGTCGATTTGGGTAGAGCCATCACAGGCCACCAACTCCCACACAACGTGGCAGCCTGGTTACACAGTCAATATTAACTCCCTAAAGCGCAGCTTTTGAAGACTTGTTTAGTAAAACTGCAATATCAAATACAAAACACTTAACACAAGACATGCGATAACAAAACTAAATCATATAGTGTAAAGTTTTTAAAACTAGTTTTAAAACTTTTGATTCACCAAAGAATAAAGATGTCAAATACAGTAGCATTCTCATCCTCCAACAGTATGCATTACACGCTTTTGTTATTTGGCAAATCTTTTGGAGTCGAACAAAAATAATGCAATATTTCTTCTTCCGTTATAATACGATTCCTCAGGCAGAACAGTAAGACGCAGAGGAAGAGTTAGATTTTTGGAAGTTTTGGTGCATTAATCACAGGATTTGCCTCCTGCAAGTATCTCCTCCCTGCACTCTTGTAATCATAGGTGCAGCCGTGAGTTTCTGCATAGCGATGAGATGCACAGAAGTTCTTTCCACATCTAAAGTACAAAAAAAGTTTACATGAATAGTCACATTTCTACGAAAGGCTCATCTCTTTGGGAGAGAGGAGCTGACTTCAGGTAGTCCAACAGGAGCCCTTTGGTTCACTTTAGTGCTGACATTTCCCTTCCGCTCATAAACAAGCACAAACATCCCCCAAAGAACACATTAATTGTCTATGACTAGGATGGTTTATAATAAAGAATCCATTATAGAATGAAACAGGGTATAGATCTTTATGAGTAGTAAAACTGCAAAAGCTCACAAATATGCCCACTATTTCTCTGATACCTAGTAAATGTGAAAGAACTCTGGATTTCTGAGAAATTCAGTCTCATGAGAAAATTAAATTTTGTAAAATCAAATTATGGCATGAAATGATCTTTAAAAATATTTCTAGCACCAAGATAAGCTGTATTTATTTGAATAGAATATACTCTAAAAAGCACCAGTTATTTTCAATGCCTGGCCTCAACCTAGGGGCACACACCATCCTTGGAGGATATTAATCAACGCTAATGAAATAAATACTTATGGGAAGAAAAATTCATTATTTTTTGAAAATACATTATTCATCTATTTTGAAATAAAAGTGTACCATATAACTGTTAAAAATTATAGTTCCTTTTTTTGGTTCAATTAAAAATAGAATCTTGAGGGGGCGGTTCTTCCAGGCAATGATCAAACAAAAACCAAGTAAGTTTATCATAAGACAAGGTACACTCTCCCACTGGTTTAAATCTCCTAATTTAAAGGGCAGGGGATGATCTGAGTTTGCCTTTTGAAAACCCATAAGCTATCTACTTGCTCTTTACTTCAGTCAATTAGGAATTCAACTAAGGGTTGCTATTTAACTTTGTTTTTTTTTTCGATACAGGGTTTTGCTCTGTTGCCCGGGCTAGAGTACAGTGGTGTTATCATAGTTCACTGCAACCTCAAACTCCTGGGCTCAAGCGATCCTCCTGCCTCAGCCTCCCGAGTAGCTGGGATTACAAGCATGTACCGCCATGCCTAGCTAATTTTTCTGTCGTTTTTGGAGATGGGGTCTTGCTACATTGCCCAGGCTGGTCTCAAACTCCTGGCCTCAAGTGATCCTCCCGCCTCAGCCTCCCCAAAGTGCTAGGATTACAGGTGTGAGCCACCTCACCCAGCCAACATTATCTTAATGATGTTATGAATGGCCAATTCAAATAATGTTTTATTTTGCATAATCCCCAAGCTGGGTCACCACATTGAAGGCATCTCAGCTTCTCTAGCTGGCCAACCTGCCTGCATTCGTAGCTAGTAGCCAGTCCTGTTTTCTTTCCACAAAGAAAACAATGCTTTTTTGTTCTCTTCTTTGTTTGAAGAGGGGCTTTCACAGGTGGGAGGTGATGAGTACATTCTCCTGTTTAGAGAAAGGACACCGTGATTAATACAGCCATAACATTCTAAATGTGAAATACTATTAAGCAAACACAAAACACATTCCTATCAAAGTAAACATTTAAGCCATAAAAATTTATTTGTGATATTTTTATATCTAAAATTATTTATAGAATCTACAAGTGAAGGTGCAGTAGAACTTTTTTTAAAGATGTGGTAGGTTTCTACTGATTAGGACTTACATGTTTAAGAGTTTTTGTACATATCACCTTTCTGATTATTAAGGGCAAACAGTTCATACAAAATACACCAAACTTTCACAGAGAATCAAGAAAATGTCTATTTCTAAATCATACTTGATGAGACCTGAGAAAAAAGGAATTGCAATACAATCATTCTATTCATTCACAACCAGAAGGAACACGAGAGTATCATGAAACTCGTCTTTTAGTCCTGATTACACCACAGAAAGTAAATTCATCAAACCATGAGCAAGTCATTTATTCTTTCAAAACTTCAATTTGTTCATTGTTAAGATAACAGAACATGTATTTTTCTCCCGAGGTGACTAAGTGCTTTAAGGCTGTGGTCTGTGGCCTGTTAGGAACTGGGCTGCACAGCAGGCGGTGAGCGCCAGGCTGGGCAGCGAAGCTTCGTTTGTATTCACAGCTGCTCCCCATCGCTCGCATCACCACCTGAGCTCCGCCCCCGTCAGATCAGTGTGGGCCTTAGATTCTTATGGGAGCAAGAACCCTACTGTAAACTGTGCATGTGTGGGGTCTAGGTTGGACGCTCCTTCTGAGAATCTGATGCCTGATGACCTGAGGTGGAGCTGAGGCGGTGACACTAGTGGTGGGGAGAGGCTGCAAATACAGATTATTACTAGCAGAGAGGCTTGACTGCACAATAAATGCAATGCGCTTGAATCATCCTGAAACCATCCCTGGTCCCTGCCACCCCAGTCCATGGAAAAATTGTCTTTCATGAAACCAGTCCCTGGTGCCAAAAAGGTTGGGGATTGCTGCTTTAAGGTCAAACAAATTTGTATATGTAAAAAGCAATCTGCAAATTTTAAGTATGTTATAATTATATAAAATATCACATTATCAATATGACTAACACAGTGCATGGCTCAATTTCACAGTACTACTAGTTTTCCAAAAATTTTACTAAATTCTGTACTATCGTACCAACTTGATTTTTTACCCTAAAAATAAAAGCACATCTGTTATTATATAAGAAAGAATTAAATCTGTTTCTTTCATTACTAAGTGAAATGTCTTTTAGAATTGATCAAAATGCCAAGAAACCCTCGTCATAAGCAGACAGGTTCAAAGTCACCGTCTGTAGTTGTTGGAAAACCAGTACAAGTACACAAATCCTTGGTGGCACACAACGGGCGAGACATGAGAGGCAAGGAAACAAGCAAGAACGAGCGGAAGGAACGGGAAGAATGATGGCAGTGTCAGTGGTGCCGGCACCTGGTCTCCACTACTGAAAAAGTTTGAGGCCCAAGTTTAATGTCTATTTAGCAGCTAGAAGTCTCTGAAAATCCTTTGAGAGTTCAAAAAATTGGATTTACAATTAATTGGTGCGATGCTTTTGCCAGAACCCAGATTGGGTGCTTGGTATGCAAACCCCACAAAATTAAGTCTGCTTTATTACCAGTCTAAAATACTCTCCCAAATCTTCCACAAAACTGAAAACAAAATTTGAAACAACTGACTGAATGACTCCTAACAGTGCCTTGCTACTGACTCAGTTAGTAAGAGCTTTCTTTCTCAAGTACACTTAAGGGACCAAGAACATTTCACAAAGGTGATGGGGCGCTTTCCGCTTCTTAAAAAAAAAAAAAAAAAGGCACTTGTGCAGGACACGGAGAGAAGGCATACAATACAGAATATCCAGGGAAAGGTCGTCCACTCCAAATCATTTTTAAATTCAGTCTTAGGATATTCTTCCTTCCTTAAACAACGGGGGAAGAATCTGTTGATGATAATTTAGTTTGATAGTTAAATTTTCATTTCTTCCTTTCCTTTGGGGATGCTTACCTCAATGTTTGCCAAATGGTTTTCATTCAAGAACTCTTGTAAATGTACAGAGAACACATCTGTGACACAGAAATGAGGTGGCACAAAGACATAACAGCACCTCCTGTGCAAACGGTTTCCACACATCCTTCCACCCAGGGAAAACTGTTTATTAGTCGACTGCTCCGTGCCAGAAACCAACGCTGATGTTATATTTGTTCCCTACATATTGTCCCCAATAGGAAAAATCCAGACTCCTTGGACTAGCATTCAGGGTCTCACGTGTTCAACACGACAGCTTCTAACTTTTCACAGTCCTTTCCTGCAACACACCACGTCGTGCCACCCTGAATGACGCCAGGTCCACTCGCACCTCCACGTCTTCTTCTAAATGCTCTGCTCCACCCTGTCAGCCTAGTGAAATGCTTCTTATACTGTAAGACATCATCAGCCATCAACTTCTCTCTGAAGCCTTCTCTCAATGTGTGACAAACACATGAATAAAGAAAAATTCTATAAAATAATATCAATGTGAAGAGTTGCTTTTCAGAACAAGATGAAAAATATTTGGAATAATTCACTTGTTTGGCATTTCCTAGTCCAATATTTGATCTAACATGATGATCTATAAAAACATCCAACAGAAAGGCAGCCAAAAAAGTAATAAATTAGATCTAGATGCAAGTTTGGTAATTATCTGGCTAAAACTATGAGAATGGATAAAGTTCCCAAGGGAGAGCCTACAGTGAAAAGAAAAGAGGACCAATGGAGGAATTTGGTAACTCAATTAAATCAAATTTACACCAAAACTTAAACAGAATCTGCTAGGTCATGCAGAATGATACAGTCAGTTATTACTGTGAGAGGAAATGGCTGCAAGTAACACAGTTCTAGTTTGGGGAATTATCACTGTAGGTATGAGCTGATGCCTGGAACCTAAATGAAATTATATTAAAAAAGTATGTATCTGGTGACAAGCAGAGGACTGGTTAAAAAAAAAAAAGTAAAGACAAAGAAAACTGATGTAAAAAACAAAACACAAACCAAAATAAAAATCTACAACATGATAGCCCAGAACTTTTTAAAAAAGAAAGAAAACCAAACCTATTCAAGAATGAGGGCCACAAAAATCAAATAAGATAAGGATGCAGAGGCACGCACTGGATTTGAAATTACGGAGATCTTTGGTGACCTCAGCAATAGTAGTTTCAGAGAAGGAGTGACAAGAGAAGTGAGAAAGTACTGACGTCTGCCTCGGAACTGAGCTAACAGAGGTGAGTGCAATGCAAATTTCCGAGAGGCTTACCTGTGAGTTAGGGCAGGACGGACTCAAGTACACGTTAAGGAAAAACAATTGGTAAAAGTGGATATATTACAGTAATCAAAAGTGTGGGGCTGCCTGCAGTGGCTCACACCATAATCCCAGCACTTTGAGGGGCCAAGGCGAGAGGATCACTTGAGGCCAGGAGGGTTAGACCAGCCAGAGCAACCCAGTGAGACCCCATCTCTACAAAAAAATTAAAAAATTAGTTGGGTGTGGTGGGGCACACTTGTAGTCCCAACTACTTGGGAGGGTCACTTAAGCCCAGGAGTTTGAAGTTGCAGTGAGCTATGACCGCGAGACTGCATTCCAGCCTGGGTGATAGAGCAAGACCCTATCTCTTAAAAAAAAAAGAACAAACATAAACAGAAAACACTGTGGTATGTGCATAAAGATAGACACATAGACCAATGGAATAGACAGTCCAGAAACAAACCCTTGCACATATGGTCGCATGACTTTCAGTAAGGATACCGAGACCATTCAGTGGGGAAGGACACTCTTTTCAACAAAAACTGGAAGTCCCCATGCAAAAGAATGAAATTAGACCCCTGTCTTATCAAAATTAACTCAAAATGGATCAAAGACCTAAACATAAGACATAAAAACCATAAAACTTCTAGAAGGAAACGTAAGAGAAAGGCTTCGTAACACTGGATTTGTTTGTGATTTCTTAGATACGACACAAAAGGCACAGGTAACAGAGGAGAAAACAGACAAGTTGGACTTCATGAAAATTAAGAACTTTCATGCATCACAAGATATTATGAAAAGAGTAAAGAGGCAACTCATAGAATGGGAGAAAATTCTGCAAATCATTTATATGATAACAGATTAATAACTAGAATATATAAACAACAAAAACTCAACAAAAAAATCAACCAATCTGATTAAAAAATGGCTAAAGAACATGACTAGACATTTCTCCAAAAAAGATATACAAATAGCCAATACGCACATGAAACTAATCATCAGGGAATCTATTTCACTAATCAGGGAATCAGTATTACTAATCATTACAGAAATGCAAATCGAAGCCACAGTGACATATCACCTTACACCCATCAGGATGGCTACTAGCAAACACACAGAAAATAAGTGCTGACGGAGATGTGGAGAACTTGGAATCCTTGGCACTGTTGGTGGGAATGTATTAATAACATAGCATAGCGACTGTTGAAACAATACGGTAGTTTCTAAAAAAATTCAAAATAGAAATACCGTATGATCCAACACTTTCAATTCTGGGCATATACCCAAAAGAATTGAAAGCAGCGTCTCAAAGAGGTTTTTGTACATCCATGCTCATAGCACCATTATTTACAACAGCTAAAATGTGGAAGCAACACAAGTGTTTATTGACAGATGAATGGATAAACAAAATGTGTTATATACATAATGGAATATCAGCCTTAAAAAAGAAGAAAATTATGACACATGCTACAACATAGATAAAACTTGAGGACATTATGGTAAGTGAAATAAGCCACTCACAAAAATACAACTATTGTATGATTCTACTTACATGAGATACTGAGTATGATTCAAAAATCATAGAGACAAGAAACAGAACGGTGGTTGCCGGGGGCTGGCGGTGGGGTGGGGTGCGGAGTAAGAAGTTAGTGTTTAATGAGCACAAAGCTTCAGTTTTGCACGATGAAAAGTGTTCTGGAAAAGGATGGTTGTAATGGTTGCCCAACAATGTGAATGTACTTAATGCCACTGAACTGTACGCTTAAAAATGGTTAAAATGGTAAATTTCATGTTATGTGTTATTTTACCGCAATAAAAAAAATTGAAAAAAATAAGTAGATATATTAAGACTTTATAACCCCCGGCCTTATGCAGGAATGAAAAACGAACCTTAACTGTCTCTTTAAAAACATAAAACTCACATAACAACCATAATATATAAAGTATCTTTAAAACCTTGGGGCTACAAAAGCGGCACATGTTTGGTAATGAGTTTCCTATCCCGGTCCAGGCACTAAAACATAAAAGAAGACAGCTTCCCTCCTCCTTGAGAATAATGACTGGCCGGCACATCTCTAAGGTGCTACTATTGGTAGAAGAAGTGCTAATGTTGTAGTCGTTTTTGCTACTATGCCTTGGAACAGGCTCGTCCTAGAGAGGGTCTCTTTTTTTTTTTTTTGAGACAGAGTCTCACTGTGTTGCCCAGGCTAGAGTGCCATGGCGTCATCCTAGCTCACAGCAACCTCAAACTCCTGGGCTCAAGCAATCCTTCTGGAGAGGGTCTCTTTTTATCCAGAAACAACCAGTTCTTCAAAAATAAATTCTTAACCACCACCGTTGCTGCAGGACCGTGATGTTAAAAAAAACATCCTTCTAGCGTAATTCCTCAAAACCCATATGGTTGCATAGTGGCCAGTGACTAAGGGCTTGGGAACTACATGTTAATTATTCAATAATCTTGTTTTGTTCACATAGATCATACCTCTTCCCAGACAAGAGATGCACTTCAATTTTTGTTTAACTCTTCATATACATCCTACAGTCATATATGTCCTACAGATTCTCATAATCATTTTCTTAATTGAAAAAATGTTTAAGAGTTTACTCTGTACATACCCCAGAGGATGTTCTTTTCATTTCTATTTGAAAAGTTAGCAGTATGTATATAATGATGTCATTGTAAGCCTTTTATTGTTTTCAAAATTATCTGTCACTCACCTACTCTTTTCCCTGCTGCTGCATGACTTCCACTCACTCCAATACCACGGGCAGACTACAATTAAAACACAAAACATCTATGAAGGTGAGTCAGTGGAGAATAGAAGAGATCACCAAACATGAAATACTTATATTTCATTACTAAGATGCTGTTGGGCTTTCATTTTAAATTATTTAATTAAATTAACTTTTTTTTTTTTTTTTTGAGACAGAGTCTCACTCTGTTGCCCGGGCTAGAGTGAGTGCCGTGGCGTCAGCCTAGCTCACAGCAACCTCACACTCCTGGGCTCAAGCGATCCTACTGCCTCAGCCTCCCAAGTAGCTGGGACTACAGGCATGCGCCACTATGCCCAGCTAATTTTTCTATATATATTTTTAGTTGTCCAGCTAATTTCTTTCTATTTTTTAGTAGAGACGGGGTCTCGCTCTTGCTCAGGCTGGTCTCGAACTCCTGACCTTGAGCAATCCACCCACCTCGGCCTCCCAGAGTGCTAGGATTACAGGTGTGAGCCACCGCACCCGGCCTTAATTAAATTAACTTTGAACCTGTTTCTTACATCTAGCAATAGTGTATTACATTATCTTTAAGAGAGTAAAATTTGATGGCTCAAAATTGATAGTTCTTACTTGAAAAAAACATAAAAACTATTTAGCTTTTAAAAATATATGATAAACTGTTTACATGAACTTATTTTCAAATTACAGTCCTCAATTCAGGAATAAAACATTACTTAAAATACAGTCATCAAAAAGATTTTCTACAAACTGGATAAACATTTTCAGAAAAACTTACGGAAAAAATCCAATCTAAGGCCCCCTATTTATGTAAACAAAAAACAAACTTTAAATATGTTAAATCACCACAAGGGTAAAAAACTTACTAAAAAGGAAAATACTTACTAGAAAAAATTGCGTAGGTTCCAGTTGGGGAGAACTTTTCCTAAGCCTTTCTTCCTGAAAATGCTGGAGGTTCGTAGACAGCCCAATTCCAGAAGTCCGAAGCCTGCCTGCCCCACGTGTGCTCTGTGAACTCTCTCTGCTTGCACTCTGGGCCCGCGAAGCAAGAAAACCAATGTTATTTACACAACTAACAGGCTCTCTGGAAGCCTTATTAGCCATTTCTGTGATATCTCGAGCCTCAACTTTGGAAATGATATCAGATCTTTTCCCAGGTGAATCAACTTTAACACCTCGAAAGCGAGTAGTCCTAGAGAAAGAAGAATCAGTTATGTTTCGAACATCCATGGACCGGAGCACATTTTGTGAAGCAGAAGACTGGAGGCTCCCAGACTCAAAACATTTGGACTGTCTTTGTGGTTTGACTAGAGAATTATGTAGTGACATTGATGCAGCACAGTGAAGAGGTGACAAGAGTCTATTCTTGTGAGGACTTAATTCACGGCTGTTAAGAACAGTATTCTCTACTGATTCACTGCTCAACATTCTTGAAACATGTTTAAGATGCTGCTCTGTAGCTTTCAACCCTTTATCACCGTTAGCGAGTAAGAACTCTGAATTTACCTTCTGTATGCCACTGCTCTGTTCTTCAGCATTTCTTTCTGTAAATGAAGTACATGAACCCACTTCAGGTAGAAGTGATTCTTCAGTTACACACTCTTCTGAAGTTGGAAATGAGACCGTGTCATCCTCGTTATTAGATGTCAAGTTTCCTGAAAAGTGTTTTGTCCGCCTAGTCAGGGATGATCCAAGACGGAGAACAGAATCAGCAAGCTCCTTGTCATTTTCAAACTCCACATGGGGTCTGTGCGGTGGTAGCTCGATGCTACCATTGGAATGAGACAGTGTGTTACTCTTCCAGTTATCATCTTCCTTAAGAAATTCGCTAGCGATAGATGATACGGGTCTGTCGGCAGGGGGCTGAGTTGCCAACGTTGAAACCGCACTCCTGGATGTGTCAGGTAGATACGTATTCCCAGGAGAAGGTAAACAAGATTGCCCAATGTGGGGGAGGACCCTTAACAATCTGTGACGGGCTGTTGCCGTGGAACCACTAGATGGTCGAGGAGCAACAGGTGGGCGAGGTTTTACTTTGACAGCTTTCTTAGGCTAAAAGAAAAGAGCGAATACATAATGTCTTTACACAGGCATTTTCTCTGCCCACGGACAAAAATTAATGAAGGGAGAAAATGTTACTTACCATAACACATTGGAATTTTATTACCTCCATTTAGAAGGTTTAAAAAGGTTAAAATCTTAAGATTATGACTAAGAAGAATGTTGCTATAGTCCCTGGGTATAATTTTCTGAGAATGTTAAAGCAAAAGAATTTTGTTTATTTCCTCACAATTATTTCTCAGAGTTTTACTGACAAGAAAACAAATTGATTATATTAGACATGACATTGCTGACCTATTATTAGATCCCCAATAACTTTTCCCAGTAGGATGAATAAATGTTTGACGAGGTAGGTATGCAGGAAAAATAGCTGACAGGCCTCAACTGCTTCTGTCCTTGAAAAGACTTGCTAGCAATGTTGGCCCTTGACTGGCTTCTGGGAACGTGTACTTCAGGACTCCCCCCATTACCCTAACTGATAAGAGGGGCTCATTGTGCCTTAACAGTGCAACGATATGGTTTATGCTGAACACCTGCTTTCCTTCTGGTAGTCTGTAATGTACATGTTAGGCAGAGGGTGCCACATGAGCAGGCCAAATAAAATTCCTGGGCACAGAGTCTCTAATGAGCTTCCCTGGTAGAAAACATCTCACGTGTGCTGTCACAACGCATCGACGGAGGAATGAAGCACATCATCCCCCGCTGGACAAGGACTCCAGGAAGCTTGTGCCTGATGTCCTCTGGACTTGGCTCTGTGCACCTTTTCCCTTTGCTGATTTCACTTCGTATCTTTCCGTATAATAAATCTTAGCCATGTGTACAACAATATACTATATATAATATTAATACTATAGTCCTGTGAACCTTCCTAGCAAATCATCAAACCTGGTGTCTTGGGAGTCCCTTGGCACAGTAGGTTTTAACAAAAGTATCACAAAAATTTATGATCTTATGGATAAAGTCAAGAATTAGAGATAAGAAAACTTTAGCTCTTAAAAACAAACAAAATGATAGTGAGCAGGCATCAGGATAGGATGGACTATCTGACAACATACCAACATTCTCACTTAAAAGAAATA